TAAGACCGAAACAATCACATAATTTCCAATGACTCTCTTCTTTTTCACACATTTACGCAAAATCAAAAACCACATATACTGAATTAGCTGATCATCTACTTCAGCAAATCCACATTCTGAATCCACACAAATATATACGAACAGAAAAACTCATTCTTTTCCATTCGAATTCGTTTTCGATAGAACGAATTAAATTATTTTAATGATGTTTTCTATCTATAAAATGTTCCTATATCTTCTATTCTTACAGAAAAACTGCTCTCATAATACATAGGAAAATATTTCTCCTTTTTTATCACTTTAAGTTCCTACTGAAACCTATCAAATCTAACACGTTCACATTTTCCCATTGAATTCTTATAATTTAATGCGCTTCATAAAGTAACGTTCAAGTGCAGCAGCTAGTCGCTTGTCGACGCCCCTTCGAAACTTCACTCGCGGCTAGCTACTGTCACCTGTGATCTCATTCTACTCTAAGATACTTCTTTTCACTTAAACTCTATCAATTGTCAGATTGCTCTTATTTAGAAAATCCGTTAGATTTATAACGCGATCGCTCCATATGAGCTGCTCCGAACCAACACTTTCCTATTATTTATTCCTAATTTCGTTAACCTAATTGTTTAGCCAATACATTAAAGTTTTATTAGGGCTCCTGATTGGGAGAATCATAGTTGGTTATTCTTGATAAATGTAGGTTTCACATAGATCTTTTATTAAACAACAGTAGAATACGTTTGCCATATATGCGGCCAGTCGTTTGCCAGCACTTCTCTCAGGCCTTGCTCACAGTCACTTGCTGTATTATTGAAATACATTAAAACAATCATTGGTTATTCTGTATTTACCCTATAGGCTGTAACTTCACTTACAAGATTCTTTTAATGCTACTTCTCTCAACTTAAGGAGAGTGTATAGAAAAAGCTATTTGATTTAGAAACCACTGTTGATAAACAGGAATTACTCAATATCGTACGCCTTAGACTGAGTGCCATTGGTGTGTAAACACTATTTCATCACGCTACGACTTACTGAAACACTCGTCGCACTAGGTCATACTCCGACCCACGCCTACAACGATACTGTGAAGAAGGTACTGAAACTAAACAGCAGTCATATATTCGAAATACGCAGAAGGATTTCTCATATTTCGAGTTTCCCTTTTTTTCACATGACTTTTTCTCAAAAGAATTGGCTTGTTCCTTAGACAATAATTCAGAGAGAAAAGTATGATTTCTTTTTATACAAATAGCTTTTTGAGTTTTTGAAAAGCTGACTTTCAATTCGGATTCTCCGATCTCGATTTACTTTCTTGAACTTTTATCAAAAGTTCACCGTGGGTGGTTTTTGACATTGCGACAAGCAAACGGACAAACTACTTTTTTTCATATGACCCTTCCTTCAGTCGAGGGAATAACGTATCATCGTTTTTTCTAAATATTCAAAGTTGAACTTCAACTTATTTGAACGAGCTTATTTTATATAAAGGTCAAAAATTTATAAATATTCAAAATTTCTTCAGTAAATTGCTGTAGAAAAAGAGTATTTCACTATTTGGCCTATTACTTACTGGTACTTGTTGTTGTGGAAGTAGTTGTAGTAGTTGTTGTGGAAGTAGTTGTAGTAGTTGTTGTGGAAGTAGTTGTAGTAGTTGTTGTGGAAGTCGTTGTAGAAGTCGTTGTAGTAGTCGTTGTAGTAGTTCTTGTAGTAGTTGTTGTGGAAGTCGTTGTAGTAGTCGTTGTAGTAGTTGTTGTTGAAGTTGTTGTTGCTGGTTGTTGTGAATTTCCTTCTAAAATGAATGATAAATCAAAATTCTTACATTTTGTAGAACAATTCATGAGTACTGAAAATAATGATAACATCCTCAAGAGATAAATTGTTTCATGAGAAAATTCAATAGGATGTTTCTCTCATAACGCACACAGAACAGTAGTAGTTCCTGTCCCCATGTTGGTACCTGGAAAGCAAGACAGAAAAAAAAAATTTAAAGATTTGCTATCGATATCGATGCGAATGTCTATTGTAGTATCATAAAACGCTCACTCAATCCCAAATTCATTCAATACTGCTTAGATAGACGTTGAAGTTTGGATATCATTATCTCGAATAAACATTATCAAGTCGAAAAATCATTATCGTCATCTAAGTTTTATATCACACGACTGAAACGACGAATTGACCTCAAAATTGTTCAAACAAGTATCATAATAAAGAATGGCTTACGCCGGTATACTATCGGCCGATTCGATTCAATCTAATCATTTATAACGATTAGAGTAACGATACGAAGGAATCCTAATGATTCCAACTCTGCCATCCAGCCCAATAAATTTTCCAACACTTCAGTGTTGGAATTTGGTTTTATACTGAATATTCTTGAATATAATTTAACCTTAGTAAAGTGCCAATGGAAATGCGTCATATTACCGTTAAATGTATAGATATCGTTGAGTCTATAACTAGCAATTTATCACAGGAATATACATTCATTAGTGACAACCTCTGATTAAAAATATTGCTCAATCATAAATGAGAATTTTTAATAATTAAATACTTTTACTTAAATGCGGCCTCAAAACAAAAAGAAACTGTATGAAAATAATTTGAACACATGCTATGATAAGTGACGTTTATCATAGTGCTAGCAAATCGAGAATGAAATTGCAAATTATTTCATAAATGGCTTTGTAATGATACGTAAGTTAATATTAACCCATTCACCCCGATTCAGTTTTTTTAGAAAATTTTTTCAAGATGTTCAGTTTCATGGACACTTAACTTTTAATAAATGCACTTAATGACCTTTTCGTTATCTACTACCGGTTATTTATCGTTCTCTTCCTTATATCACTACATAATGAGTCGTTTTTTTTTACCGAACTGAATAATCGCTCGGATTACTTTTCCGTTCTTTTCCATATTATACAAAGTATGCACGAGAAAAAGAAGGAAGTTTCCAACTTTTTCTCCGGCATTCTTTGTTCTCTATCGTTTTGTATATAAATACAACCGAAGTTTTGGGATAATTCACATGTCGTTTGAAGAAATGAATACAGAAGATAGCGCTAGCTCACTCGATGAAGTGAGTTCTCTGGATGACAATTTTGACGCAATGTACCTTGAATCTGACGACTCTAATGAAGAAGGTACTGGTGATGATGTAGATTCACATACTTGGAAGGAAATAGAACCAGAATCTGACGCAGAATCCCTGGAGGATCATGGACTCATCGAAGAAGTAACTTCTATTTCAGGCGATAATACAATCAATCCTATCGATTGCTATCGGCATTTCATAACGGACGAAATTATTGACCTCATAGTTCGTGAAACTAATCGATATGCGCAGCAATACTTGCAAAACCATGAGATTAGTAGACGGTCAATACTTCATTAATGGAAATCAACCACTAATGAAGAGATGCTGAAGTTCTTTGGAATCATTATCGAAATGGGGTTGGTACAAATGCCAAAACTGAAGTACTACTGGAGCAGTAGTTGGTTGTATGGTTCAGACATCATTCGAAATGCTATGTCGAGGGAGAGATTCGAATTACTCCTCAAATTTTGGCATTTTTCGAACAATGATAACAAAAATTCGAATCAAGATAGGCTTTCCAAGTTGAAACCACTCTTGAATTTATTGAGAGTCAGATTTTCGTCAGTATATATACCTGGTTCGGTTGTGACTATCAACGACACTATGATATCATGGCAAGGTAGACTTTTCTTCAAACAACATATTCCTGGAAAAGCGCACAAGTACGCCGTAAAAATGTACAAGTTAGCGGCTACCAAAGGATACACCTGGAATTTTGTGATCTATACTGGTCAACAAGATCCTATGGCAGGTCTTGGACATGCCCAAACAGTCGAGATGAATCTATTGGATGGTCTTGAGGGATGTTATCGCACCGTGGTAGCTGACAACTTCTTTACCAGTATTCCTCTTGCAAAATGTTTGTTAGAAAATGATATGTATCTTATTGGAACACCGAGAAGTAATCATGCGGGATCAGACAGCGAAGTTGTTCAAAAAATCTTAGATGTGGCGAAGTTTACGGACTGCAGAATAAAGACGGCGTAAAACTGATCATGTGGAAAGACAAAAAAGATGTCTTGATGGTATCCACAAGACCGTCGCATTCAGCGACTGTGGTGGATACTGGAAATACCAATAGTAAAAATGAACGCATCATGAAGCCACAAGTTGTACTCGATTACAATGAAGGAAGATTAGGTAGTGATTTATCTGATCAGCTATCATCCTATTGCACGTGTCTCAGGCGGTCAATAAAGTGGTACCGGAAGGTAGCATTTGAATTGCTTTTAGGAACGGCACTGGTCAATAGCTATTTGATATACAAAGAAAACTACGCCGCAAGCAAAGTAACCATTCTGCACTTTCGTAAAAGTCTTGTTCGATCTTTACTACTTGGTATATCGTTCGAGAAGCTGAAGCCGGGAGTGAAACAGAAACCAGCTGCCCAAGTAAAATGTAAGCTTGCTGATCACAAGCTCGAAGAAAAAGAAGGTTCTGCCCGCGATGTTCGAAGACGCTGTGCTGACTGCTACGAGAAAATTAGGCAACAACAATTAAGAGAAGCAAGCCTGGCAACAGCAAAAAATAAATAAAAACCTTTTGTTCTGATTGTGACAAGTTTTTTTGTCTTGATTGTTTTAACGAGAAACATTTCGCTATAAAATAAATGATCCAAAAATAGCTATGTCAAAGTAGAAAGCACATATTGTGTAAGGTACAGCCTAAGAACAAGGAGAGAAAGTGCTTTCCTGTTTGGTATTTTGAAAATACGCAGTGAGACCCTCCGGTGGGTCTCATTGGGTCGAATGGATTAAGACACTTTTACTCGTCTGAAAATCGCATATTCCAATTTCATGACGCACAAAAGTCGCAGAGGCTACTACGTTCAATATTTTCTGAAAATGGGACTTAATTTGTTGGCCAATATGAAAATTTTAGTATTATTCCAGAAAAAAAGCTTTAGAGCACTAGATCTTTGAAAATTTTGCTACTAATTCAAATCCTTAAAATTCTAAAACGAAAATATATGGACCAATATACAACAAAATTTATATAAAACATGTTATATTTTACCTATCGTTCCAGTACTTGCAGCAGAAGACATCGACGTAAGCGATGAAAGATTAATGGATGTTTTGCAACTGATTAATAAAAGTTCAATGAAGCTTCCATCGATAAGTTCAAGTTTCAGTAAAATACTTATAATATATGTAGTAAAACGATTTTTAATACCAACAAAAAATTTTTGTTTACAAGATACAGATTTGCCGCACTTTATCGGATACGTAATTCTAAGTGTTATTGCTACAATTGAGCCAACAGATCCCAACTGTTCACAATTAGGTCTGAAACAGATTTACGCCAATATTCAGAAAGGATGTATCATTTTAAAAAAATCATAGTATATGTAAACTTACATATCACGCTTTTTCCTGACAAGTTCACGACGACGACGACCACCATTAGCATTTATTACAGCACTATAGATCACAATCTTAGTGATATGTATCGAGTTTGGTTGGAGTTTATAGACTGCTTCGAGCTAGAAAATTGTTCAATTTAATATTTAAAACATACATGATAAATAATAAAAATGCAATTACTTGTCGAGCTATCTCGTTAATGTTGATGAAGTTCGTACTCTGATTATTAGTTGGTACCCAGTTTGTGAAGAAAAATAATGTTATTTTGTCAGATTCTACAATATGAAATGAATGATCAAACTAAGCAATCGTTTCTGTAGCAAGTTTTTCAAAATAATTAGTGATTACATGCATACGCTGAACAAATATGACCTTCACAGCCAAAAAATACGTTTGCAAACCTGAAATAACACTCAACAAAAGGAAGAAACTTCTAATCTTCTTTTTATCGTTATTATTATAGATAGCTTGTACAAAAGGTCTCGTTTACAAGACAATTTTTTCTTACTAGAGTTCAGCCAAATTTAAAGCTTTCGCTCTATCCATTAGTGAGCATCTAGGATACTTGAAGCTGAAATCAACGATAATATTATTTTCTTGCTCAATTCCTTATGGTACTAGTGATCTATAATATTCAACAGTAAATAGAATATATCAAGAAAAATTAAATTCATCACTACTCTATATTGTTTAGTTCTTAATTTTGATTGTGACAATTGTAAGAATAGTTTTTTATTGGATTGTTTCGTAAAGAGAATCATAATGCTTGATTCATTGTACGATGTGCATCTAATAATGCTCTTCTTCTTTGAATGTAAATTCTATATTGTATGATTATCCTATCACTCATAAATTAAGTTCTAACTAACCTTTAAATCTTTCAAACAAGCAATAGATTATTATTGCTTGTTTCTATAGCTGTCTAGAATAATACTGATCTAATTACTTAATTAGAACCGGGAGAAGACAAATTTTTACTTAACATTAGGATGTATCAAAGGTTTCAACTTTCCTGAATGATCTCTTTCTGAATTATTTAGTCTTTAATAGTAATCAATAGACTCGAGTGTTAAATACTGCATGCATGAAAAAATTGCATTCACTACAACTTTTCACATGCTAGAACCAATGTTAAATCCTTTTTGTAAACAAAATTATGCGTGACAATATGTTCATTTGTTTTTTTCTGAACAATCATTACGAAAGAGAAAAGCAATTAATAAAATTAGTCATAAATCAAAAACTGAAAGAGTTACAACAACTTCTTTTATTAGGCATTGTTGATCTAAAACATTTCTGACTGATGAATTAAGTTGCATGGGAAACTTTTATCGATTGCAGATCTTCTTGTACTCTCATATCTACGCTTCATATCCATTTATTTAAACGAAGGACA